AAACCCTGATTATTAAGTCCACCAGTAACTAACACTTTTCCATTCGCTAATACGGATGCTGTGTGTGTTCGTCGTGCATAGTTGAGATTACCAGTTTTATACCAATCTAGATGAAAACATTTGAATGCTTTTATCCTGGAAGAATGTTTATAGTGGAACCATCACGATCGTCTAATCATGAGCGAATATTTTTAAATTTTGTAAAATGAAAATCGTTTAGTAGTTTTAATACAATTTTTTTAGAATTTCTGGTATACCGTTTAGTCTCTCCCCAAAACAACAACACAAAGAAAAGAGAGATTATCTGAAGTTTCACAAAAAGAGAAGTGAATCAGGATTCATTTGATTTCTTTGTGCTTCTAAACTCTGATTAATTTCAACAAGAATATGCTTACTTGTTATTGATGAAGCTGGAATGGAACTTGTTGATGGTATCAAACGCTATAATTGCTGAGATACATAGACGCATGGTTTTCCTTTTAGAAAGCTTATTTTTCTTTCAATATATTTAGCTACTTCATCATGTGATACCTCAGCACCTGTGAATAAGTTTTGTTTAAAAACTTATGCTCTTAGTAAAAAGCACCATTGATTCTCACTTCTCTGATCTATTATCAAGTGCAACTAATTATCCGATAATGATCGAACCTTCCTTCAATTATATGCTTTTGCATAAATACCACTTTGAAAAGGTAAAAATATTTTGAAACGTTGAGATTTGACTAAGCGCCCGGTCAGGCACCAGATACGTGGATCACATGTAAATTAAGTTTGAATTTTCTACTTGTCATTACATTATTTACAAGAGCTAATGCACTTTCGACTATATGCAGCTACTATTGATTATAATCGTCATAATCGAACTTCTTAGATGAAGCAAGTACGAAGAAAAACAACCGCCGAATATGTATTATTTTGAAAAAATTCCGGCGATCAGATCTAAAAGTAGTTCTCGCGTCCATTTCGGTTTATTTCGTGCTAAATGCTGCAGTCTGAAACGGTTTTTAGACATGGCTATTCTTTCCAGAATCCTTCTAGACTAAGAAATACAGTGATTTATCACAACCAAAGGGTAATGTCCGTGTTCCATCGTATTCGAAGCTCGGATCCTACCTTTTGAAGCCCGGATATGGCTCCATGATCTCGCTAGTCTCTAATTAAAAAAGAGCAAGGTGTTAGGTCAACAGTTCATGGGTGATGTAATAATAGGATATAGGGGGTCTTACCTTACATTCAAGAACAAACGTGATCAATTCAGGAGGGGATGTGAGATCAGTTCAAATGGACGATTTATTTCATGAAGACGAGACACACACAAGTGAAGTGGTAGTGAAAGCTACTGCTCTTTACCAAAACAAAATAACAACTGAACTATATCAAAATCTGAGAAAATGCTAAAGAGAGAGAGATAGACAGAACGAAAAAGAAAAATCTTACTATTGAATGAACGAAAGAGAAAAATCCAATTAACTACAGAACGAAAAGGGAGATTGACAAATGAGAAAATAGGAAGAAATCAATTGAACCTCGTTCAATTAAGTTAGCGTCGACATAGTGTCATCTGTTGACGCTAACACCTTCCCTCTTCGGCAGAACCGCATCTTCGGAAAAACTTCTGCCCCCACTACTTTGTAGGCTGGAAAGAGAACCACTTTAGTCAATGGAAGAAGAAGAACCAAATAGAGAAAAACTAACTCACGCACTCTCACAGATATCACTCTCACGCATGTTCACACAGATCCTCTCTGAAACACTCACACATACACGTCAACAAACAACATAGGAAAAGAAGAAGAGTTAGGAAGGATACCACTGGAAAAAAAAGTTTTTTACAAAAACGTCTTTAGGTAAAGTCTTGAGTTAAAAGGAGAAGAGAAGAAAAAGAAGAGATGACATCAACCATGTTGACCAAAAAAAGGCCCACAGACAAGCAAGTCTTCATGAATATAACAAAAACAAAAACAAAAAATTATAACTATAACAAACATAAATATACAAAAAAGACCAAAGATGATGAACATTAATAAAACGAATGTTCATAAGGATCAGTTCAAAACCATTTTTTATAGCTATTTTTTCCGTAAGCATTTGTGTTTAACAGTTGATTTTTCTTTCTTTTTTATAAAGGAAATTTTTTCTTGAATTATACATACTTGTAATATTTTTATAACATTGAAGGACATCCCTTCGTAACACATAAGAAACTAATTCTAACTGATTAGAATTCGGAATGGTTGCCAAATGTACAACGTGTTTAATTAGGTGGACCCGTTTTAACATGTAATTTTGGCCACCTTGTAATTTCATGGGGGTTTTCATCGAGCTTTCTACGATCTCTTGAGGAAGCTCATTTCGAATTAGATCAAAAGTAATTATAGATGGATCAGAACTAACTGTCATGGATTTCATAGCTGGTTTCTCACCAATAGCATTGGTGGCACCAAAATCAACAACAGCCTTTGAGCAGGGTAGAGGTGTTTCACATTCAAAACTTATCGTATCGGGACTATCAGTACTTTTTTTCGTTCAGATTAACAACCAATATAGTTTGATATAGAAATTCTTCGTTAGATAAATTATTCATTACTGTTTCATCAAGAATACTAGAATTAAGAAATGTATTCTGGGATGATGCAACATTTGATTGATTAACAGGATCATCACCGGATGAACCGGTGGCTCCAAGATCAAGTAACGCAGTTGAACGTAAAATTGGAGGTTGTAGTAGACTATCATTTAATTCAAAGGTATAGCTAGCTATTTTCGGTTTATCGTCAAAGGCAACATTCTTTTGTATTGACGCATCTTGGATTAAATCACTTTGACTTAATGTTAGCGGATCAGAGTATGATTTTACATTTGGAATATTATGATTGATAGGTTTATATTCCATCAATAGAAATGTATAGAAATCATCATAGGTGTTTATCTTATCCTTATTATTGATATACGCTCGTTTAGCCTCTCCTTTGACAAGCAAAGGAATTGCAAGATATCGAAGTTTACGTGAAAGTTTGAAAGCATTAAACTTCTCATCAGTTGTATCTAACCATTCGATCACATTCTCATTTCCGGAGAACGTACTAAAATTATTTAGAATAAATGCATCAAATGCATCTTCAGGTTCACCATAAGATGATCGCTCATCTGATGATTTATTATCATCAGATCTGTTATGTCGACTACTAGGAGGTTTCATAGTTAATCTACGATTTTTATCATATTTCCTTGTAGCTGCTGTATCTTTTTTTGTTACATCGGATGATACCTCTTCTAACGTTTCTCTAATTTCGGATGCATCACTAGCCATTTTTTCATCAGACATTTTCTCTTTTACAACACAAAAGACAGGTGAAAACTTTTAAGCAAAGAATAAAGAAAGAGGAGAGGGAAGAAAAAAGAAAAGAGAAGAAAGAAAAAAAAATATCTATATGTATATATACTTAGGGTTATCCAAAAGTAGTGGCGGAGACCTTTTTTTTCTTATTTATAAGTGAAAAAAATTTTCTCTTTTTACCAATCGATAGAGCGAAAGATGCTCTATTTTTCTATGCTATTTGATCAATATTCAACTAAGAACATTATAATAAAATCTGGGCAAAACCTTTTTTCGTTGAACACTAGCTGGTTGTAATAGTGCATAAAATCATCTACACGTGTTTTTTTTT